TCATTTCTTATTGACCAAAAATCACAATGTAGTCATGCTTTCATAATAAATCATATTCTTAAATGATCATGTTTCTTTACTCAATAAAAACATCATCAGATCACATAGTCAAATAATTCTTCATACACATTAACTTAGAAAATATATACTTTGTGTAGCAATTCTTCAATAAAACCTTCTTAACATACTCGTTTTTAATCCAAATTCAACGAAATCAAAGCCAAAACGTGCGTCGAGACGGTCCTGAAGAGCCGAGCCACAAGGGCCCGTAACATTCGGCCCGAAACGACACGTAGCTGAGCCACAAGGGCCAGCCACTGCACAGATTCTTCTCAGAATCAAAGTCAGGGGCCTGGGGCGGGACTCCTCATGGTCCGCCCCTTATACCCCGTCACTTCACCGGGACTAGGCGGCGGCCTCCTCTAGGGCCGTGCCCTAGTCCCGTGCACACACGGCTCTAGCCGGCGGCCCTCCTGATGGGCCGCGACTAGGGCCGTTCATCTGATCTGGTGCACATTGTGTTGTGCAGCAGAAGGTTTTTCATCTGCAAAAATCCAATCCAAACAAGTCCAAAACAATCTCAACAACTCACAAACAAATACTAAACCACTTCTAAGCATAAACACAACAAAATCTCATAGTTTCTACTCATTTCTACTCAATACTAAGACTTCACAGAGCCAAATTTTAAAGAGGAATCCATGGGGTTATACCTCTTGTAGTCTTTCTTCTAGCTTGGATCTCTTCTTCCTCTCTATCTAGCTTGAGCCTCCTTCACCACCTATACTTCCCAAACACACCATACAACCTTAGCCTAAAACCTCAAAGATTAAAAGGAACTAGAAGAGAAATGATGGCTAGGATTGAAGAATGAAATAAGCTTACTGGCTAGGACACAATATTTTGGAGAGGCAAAGAAAGAGGTCAGGGAATCAAGATGAAATGGTGGAGTTTATATAGGGTCCAAAACCCTAGGTAGAAGGCCAGTGATTGGTTGGGGGCAAAATGGTAAAAGCTTACATACAAAGTGTTTCTCATCAAAGTCTTTTGGCGTGGAATGGTTCACCTTGTATCATGGACCAAGGCTAGAAATGCTAACTTTAAATACTTTGGGGTTGGAAATGAATTTTCCCAAAAAGCTATTTGGATGAACACTTGTTTAAAATCTTTTTGAATTCACCCGGTCTCACTCAGATAAATTTCTCGATTTAAATCTTGGTACACGAAGTACCCGAAAACTTAGAAATTTCGAATAGAATCCATTTTTGGTGTCGAATTAATTTAAAATGTGACGAAAATATTTTACAATCGATTGCAATTTTTTTTTAATAGAGTGAAAATGGCTATTTTGGAACTTCTTAATACCAGATTTATAAAATGAAATTTTGGGTTGTTACACTCCTGGGTATGAAGACAAAACGATGCCCGAGCACGTTTGTCTCTTTCAACGTTCTTTGTATGGGCCTAAACAAGCTCCCCGCGCCTGGTTCACGCGTTTGCATGATTTTCTGATTTCTGTTGGTTTCTCACCTTCCAAAACTGATGTCTCTTTATTTATATATTCACGTGGCAACTCGTCTATATTTTTTGGTCTATGTGGATGATATTTTAGTCATGGGTTCTGATTCGGCTCTTGTGACTGATCTTATTGGCAAGCTGGCTCTTGAATTTAAAGTTCGTGATATTGGAGTGTCCTCGTTTTTTCTAGGTATTGAGACTATTCCGTTATCTGGTGGCATGCTTCTGTCTCAACAACGGTACATGAAGGATATTTTAAAACGAGCTGGTATGGTTGATTGCAAGCCTGTGGCCACCCCAGTTTCAACCGCGAAGGCCGAGACCGGTGCCGTGGTGCCATATGCTGATCCCACTCAGTATCGCAACTTTTGCAGGTGCTCTGCAATATCTTACGGTAATTCGTCTTGATATCTCCTATGCAGTCAATCGTTTGTGTCAGCATATGCACTTTCCCTCTACTGCGGATTGGGCGGTTCTCAAGAGGGTGTTACGGTATGTAAATGGGACATACATCTCGGTCTTAAAATACTCCTTCTTCCTCTCTAGATATTCATGCATATTCTGATTCGGATTGGGTTGGCAATCCTGATGATCGAAAATCTACTAGTGGTTTTGCTGTGTTTTTGGGGACCAATCTTGTCTCATGGGTTTGTCGAAAGCAGTGTACTGTGGCTCGTTCCTCAACTGAGGCAGAATACAAAGGACTCGCTGATGTTTCTGCAGAGGTTACTTGGCTTGTCTCTTTGATGAAGGAACTCGGGTTTGCGCCACCTTCTGCGCCCAAACTCTGGTGTGATAATCTGGGTGCTATGTATCTATGTGCTAATCTGGTGTTTCATGCTCGCAGCAAACACATTGAGATCGACTACCACTTTGTTCGTGATAAAGTAGCAAAGAAGGAATTACAAGTCAATTTTATTTCTACCAAAGATCATATAGCGGATATTTTTTACTAAGTCTCTTTCGTCTGTACGTTTTAATTTACTCCGTTCCAAGCTCAATGTTTTGGCTGACCAAACTTGTGCTTGAGGGGGAGTATTAAGACTCTGTTATTCATATTAGACTAGGACTATATTATTCGTGTTAGACTAGGATTCTATCTAGCATCTCTATATATTCGCTCCCTTTACTCTCAGACATCATTCATTAAATATAGAAAACATATTCTCATCATTATGAAACTAGATACTCGTTTACTACACAAACAAGTATCTAGAAATGGCAGGTAATTAATTTAAGTGACACTCCCTCAGCTTAAGTAATAGATTCATCTCTATTTTTACCAATCTTTACTTATTTATGATAATTTTGCCTTCTCTATCATCTCAAAAAAATAATAATAAAATTAACTAGCTATTTTCTAAAATTATGACTTATACAAGTTGAACACGAGTATTAGGCATTGACTATTTACCGAACTAAAATGTTAATTTGAGTGCGCAATACTTGGAAAATTATTCAAGATGGACCTATGTTCAAAATACATAATTTACTCACAATTTTTTTATAAATAAATTGTGAACATTCAATAAAAAGGTTTAAATTTTTCCCGCGATATTTGATCGATGATTTAGCCGGGAAGACTAAATGTGTTAAAAATTGCATAGTTACGGAACTAAATTGTTAGTTTTTAAAGTGGAGTACTGAAATTAACAAGACCTCTATAGTCATAGGACCAAAAGTGTAATTTTCTCAAATATCAAATTTGCAAACTAAAAAACAAATTGTAATAGTAAAAAACGAGCCACATTTCTTATGTCTTAATTGTTCTCATCAAAATAAGTTTTTTTTCATTTGTCTCAACTCTCAATTAGTAATTGTTGTTTATTTGTAATTAAATTCTACAATAGACGAACAAATACATAAATCAAGTTACAAACTCAACTTAACCTTTTTCACTTTATATCTAAATGTGTGGCCTTTAAGAGTTTACATATTATAAAACAAAAAAAATATAAAAATAAAAAACAAAACAAAAGACAAAAACAAAAACAAAACAAAAGCTTATTATAGTTATAGAGTTTCAATAAAAAAAATAGATATAAAAAAATAACTTAGCGAAGACAATTCTTTACTAATGAAAATTGATGAAAATTTTTATAGAAAAGAAGATTGACAGATTGGATTATTATGACATACAAAGTTTGAGTTTTGATGAGTATATACTATTCGATCATTGGCTAAAGTATGGATCAGCCTCAAATCTCTAGGCCAGCTGTCCTACCTATTAGATGTGCCTACAATTCAATGAGATGATTAATCACTGTGTTCGACGGTAGAAACTATAAGTAAATCCAAAAAAATTATTGCAAGATGTTGCAATTGTTTCTGATAGTGATTAAAGTTGTAATTAAATTTAGGAGTTTATATAGATATAAGAAATAGATAGTTTTTGTTAATTAAAATTAAAGAATTTTTAAAATTATAAAAAATAATAATTTAGAAAGTAATATATTTTACAAATATAATAATTTAGAAATTAATATAGATTGAATAAAATAGATATAAAGTAATGCTTCTAGTCTAGATGATAAATGCTAATCAATTCATTCATTGTACTAGAAATAATGTTTATGGTTGATAATTTTTGGTATATGAGAGCATCTACAAGTGTGGATATTTGATGAATTTTTGCAAAAGAAATAACTGATGTTAGGGCTCAATCGGCGAGGGCTCGCTACAGGGTCGGTCGGCTCACTCTACCCAGAGTAATTTCTACGGCGGTTTTGTCAACGAACGCGTCTTGGGCTAGATTCAAACAGATGTGGAGGGTTGGTTTTTTCACTTTTGTTCTCTTGGCAAGAGATGCATATTTGTGGGGTCCATAATATGAGAAAGAAAAAACAAAAAGACAGCAGGTAAAGAGAGTGCCGAAAGCAACAGGCGCCCAGTGGGCGCGTCAGGTGCGTTGACGGCGCGCCTGCCAAGGACCCTTTTATTTATTTATTTATTATTTTTTAATCAGTTTTGTTTTATTGTTTTTCTCCCCTCCCATTTTCTCTTTACTAATCACACTTACAAAAACTATTCAAAAATCACAAAATATCTCCATCATGAACGGTTTAAATAAATATTATATAAGTAATAAAAAATATGTTTTGAAAATTAGACAGGTAATAAGTACTCGTAATAAATATGTTTAAGAAATTAGATAGGTTTTATTAATTAGAAATAAAGAGTTATTAATAGAATATAATATATAATAATTTAGAAAATAATAAATATTTTGTTGACACCATCAATATTATTTTTTTTATTTTTTAATAATATAACATCTTCTCTTTTTCCACTTATCTCTACACTAGCGGTGGATCAAATATTAATCTATAAATTAATTAGTTTACAGCAAACAATGAATATAATTCAACGGGCACAAAAAATTTGGTAAAAAAATTCTAAACAATATTTTCCTTGGATTATTATTATATATAGTATATAGTAATAGTAATAGTAATAATATATATCGGTCGTGCCATATTTATTTCTTCTCCACTCTTTATAAAGCGCAGCATTCAAAGGGAGAGAAAGAGAACGATGAGGCGATGAGCTAAAACAAGAAAGAAAGGAAGAAAGAAAGAAAGAAAGAAAGAGAGAGAGAGAAGCAAGGTTTTGGCAATGGCGGATATTCTTAGCAACAGGAGAGGCGTTTTGGGAGTTTCTATGTGCGGCGCCGCCGAGGAAATCGAGCAATTATCGAGAGACGGCAGCCAGTTCAGCCTCTCCACCGGAATCCTCCCCTCCCTCGGCGCTCGGAGCAACCGCAGAGTCAAGCTCCGCAAATTCATAATCTCCCCCTACGACCACCGCTACAGGTATGTAGGTTCCTCCTCATCCGCCGCCGCCGGTTTCTCTATAGTCAATTTGCATACAAATAAAACACGTGTCTTTTGATTGTTTCGAAAACAGTTCTGGATTACGAGTTCAGATTCACTCATCAATTATCTCTTCATATCTTGCTAATTTGGAAAAATTCGTTTTTTTTTTCCTTAGTTGAAAACCGAAAATTATACTCTTAAAAAAAATATTATAACTACTAAAAATTCGTTTTTCTTTTCGTAGTTGAAAACCGAAAATTATACTCTTTTTAAAAAAAATTATTATTACAAGTTTTTTTTAGTACCTCTGTTACATTGTAGTGGTTGTTTATATATATATATATACTTTCTCAATTTAATGAAGCAAACCCCGTTGACCTTTCTCACTTCAGGCCACTTAGTTATTAAAATAATACTTACTCTATCTCATTTTATTTATCATATTTATTATTAAACTGAATTATTTTTTCACATTTTTAAATTTAATTTTTTTATTTAATCGTTTTTAATATAATTTATATATATATATATATATATATATATATATATATATATATATATATAATATTATTTAATATTATAAAAATTGAATTAAAAACAATTTTAATTGAATAGACAAATAAAATGAAACAGAAGAAATATTATAATAATTAATATTTTTTTTTGGGATCGTATAATTTTTTTTTAGTAATATTTAGTTGTAGTTGCACGGGGTATTGTGCAGCTGTGCTGTGCTGCTCGAGGTGTTGGGTGGTAACTTCTGGGAGCAAACTTTTTGTATTTTTCGTATTTTTAAATTGGAAAATTTGATTTTTGGCTGTTTCTTGATGCATGTTACTCTATGATTGATTGCAAAAATGCAAAATAAAGAAGTTTTAACAGGAATTTTACATTATAAGTTTGACTTTTTGTTTAAAGAATGATATTGTTCTGGATCGTATAGAAAATGACGCCGCAACAATTCTCTTAGCTTTGGTTTTAACTTTTAGATTTTTATTTACGAGATAATGTTATAGAGAAATGTCACGTTCTACATACGTAAAGTTTTTAAAATATCATATTCGTGACGTTTTTTACAGTATGGTAAAAGTAGAATTAGCTACACATAATTAGTCTCGTAAATTAAAATTCTTGGATCAAAATTATTGACTTATTTTGCTGGGGTCCCAACCCGGTCCAACATGATGGTGGACCGGTAAATCATTGATTATCTTGTATAGTTGTATGAAAGGACTAGTATTTGGTGCCTACCATAAATTCATTATATTATTAGGTACAACTCTCACTTTGACACTTTGACTACTAGGTACCTGAGGGTGTGAACTGAGTAAATCCTAACTAGTATCTAGTGCCTACTTTGAATTCATCATATTATTGGATATAACTCTCACTTCGACACTGTGGCTACTAGGTACCCGAGGGTGTACACTAAGTAAATCTCGCCTTGTAACCTTAGCTTGCAAAGGACCATAAGGGAGTAAACCAACTTAGGTTGTCCATAGTTGATCGGTAGAGGGTTAGGAATTGAACTCGTGACCTTGTGATTACAAGTTTGTATCCTTAGCTATCTTGGCTGGGGTGACCCCCAATTATTGAGTTTATTTTGTTTTTGGTGGTTGCAGGTGGGGAGGGAAGCGGGGGGTGGGGGGGGGTGGGGGTGGGGGGTGGGGGAGGATTTCAGTTACAGTGTTAGATTTTTGTTTAGTACATTTTTTGTTTTCTTTTGACTAGTTGAATCTTTTTGTTATAGGGTACATTTCTGGGAGGCTTCTGTTTTGTTTTCTTAGCAGATTCTTAGCAGACAGCAGCAGTATCTTGACTAAAATTTTGTGGCCCTCCTTAACGTGTCTTTTTGTTTGTATTCCATAATGCAAAGAGCCACCAACCTCCCGTCAACTGTTGGTACTTTTTACCACAGTTCCATGATATCTTTTTGTTTTTGTTTTTTAATGTAAAATTTTCCATTAGGGAAAAACATATTACCTGTTGGTATAGAGTAGCCTGAACTTGTGTTATGGTCGGGTGGGTTTAATCGTTTGATATTTGACTTGACATGTTAAGGAGTGGGAGTGCAAGAGAGAGCGAAATGTCGTTAAGTAGAAAATTTGTTTAATGAACTGCAAAGATAAAGTTTTGCATGTTTGGTAGCTGGAATGTTGGGCTTAACATGGATAAAATGCACAAATTATCGTGGAACATTAGGAAATGAACTAATTTGGATTAATGTTTTCAGGATATGGGAGACCTTTCTGGTGGTTCTGGTCGTCTATACTGCTTGGGTGTCTCCTTTCGAGTTCGGTTTTCTTAAAAAACCAGAAGGACCACTGTCGATTGCCGATAACGTTGTGAATGGATTCTTTGCGATTGATATTGTGCTCACCTTCTTTGTAGCATACCTGGATAGAGCCACATACCTTCTGATTGATAACCCGAGACAGATTGCTTGGAGATATGCAAGTACTTGGTTGGCATTTGATGTAATATCGACAATCCCTTCAGAATTGGCTAGGAAAATTTCTCCAAAACCTCTACGCTCGTATGGCTTCTTCAATATGCTTCGCCTATGGCGTCTCCGTAGGGTCAGTGCTTTATTTGCCAGGTAAGTTCTGTTGGCTGTAACCATAATCTGCTCTCAGATCACTCGAGTATCCCCTCGAGAATGCTAATCCGCCTGCTTTCTGTTGTTATACAGATTGGAGAAAGATAGGAACTTCAACTATTTCTGGGTTCGCTGTGCAAAGCTTATTTGTGTAAGTAGACACAACCCTTTCGAGTGTGAGTAAACCCCGCCTTGTGACCCTAGCTGGCAAAGGACCACAAGGAAGTAAACCAGCCTAGGTTACCCATAGCTGACTGACTCAAACCAATGGGGCAAGGATTTGAACTGGTGACCTTGTAGTTACGTGAAAATTTACATTTATATAACATTATATCTTACTCGTTTTCCAGGTCACTCTTTTTGCTGTTCATTGCGCGGGCTGCTTCTATTATCTACTTGCTGCTAGCTATCGTGACCCGAAGAAGACATGGATAGGGGCATCCATGGAAGACTTCCTTCACCGGAGCCTATGGATTCGTTATGTTACTTCTATATATTGGTCTATCACGACTCTCACCACTGTTGGTTATGGTGACTTGCATGCCGAAAATACTAGGGAGATGATATTTGACATTTTCTATATGCTTTTCAACTTGGGGCTCACGGCTTACTTAATAGGTAACATGACTAATTTGGTCGTCCATGGTACGAGCAAGACAAGGCGATTTGTGAGTAAAATCTATCTCATTAGAATCGAAGTTTCTTAATTGTATAGGCTGCTGGTGTTAACAAAATGTTTGTTTTTACACAGAGAGATACGATTCAAGCTGCCTCGAGTTTTGCCCAAAGGAATCGTTTACCTGTTCGCCTTCAAGATCAGATGCTCGCGCACTTGTGCTTAAAGTTTAGGACAGACTCCGAGGGGCTCCAGCAGCAAGAGACTCTCGATTCTCTTCCCAAAGCCATCAGGTCAAGCATATCGCACTTTCTCTTCTATTCCATGGTTGACAAGGTCTATCTTTTTCGGGGAGTATCCAACGATTTACTCTTCCAGCTGGTAAGTTCAGTTATGAGATTATCCCGTTATTCGTCACTTTTATGGATCTTGATGTTCACAATCAACTACTTTTAAGGTCTCGGAGATGAAAGCAGAGTATTTCCCCCCAAAAGAAGATGTAATTCTGCAAAATGAAGCACCCACAGACTTCTATATCCTTGTGACTGGAGCTGTGGTAAGTTTAAATGTTCCTTTTCATACCATAAACACACAAAAAGAGTGAGCTTTGAAGTGTTTTCTGTTTTTTTCCTATAAGTTCGTCGATGAATTTAGTCTAACCTGGAAATTACTTGGCAGGACCTTCTGGTTTATAAAAATGGCGGTGAACAGGCAAGTCTGATGTAAAATGTTCACTATTAAACATATTACTTCATGAAACTGCTTACTCAAATCCTTTTTCTTTTTGTTTTGTACACTAAAGAACTTGAACTAAAACTGCCGTTGATATTGCAGAATGTTGGGGAGGCAAAAGCGGGTGATCTCTGTGGCGAGATTGGGGTGCTTTGTTATAGGCCTCAGCTATTCACAGTCCGTACAAAGCGATTGAGTCAGCTTCTGCGTATGAACCGCACTGCATTTCTGAATATTATTCAGGCTAATGTTGCCGACGGAACCATAATCATGAACAATCTGCTTCAGGTCTAAAGTCTGCAGTTCATTTGTTTTTTGTTTGATAAAATGTAGGATATAATCTTAAAACCAAATAATGTTATGTTGATCTGAGCAGCATCTGAAGGACACGAGGGATCCAATTATGGAAGGAGTTCTCTTAGAGACAGAGAACATGTTAGCCCGCGGAAGAATGGACCTTCCTCTTACCCTCTGCTTCGCGACGCTCAGAGGAGACGATCTGCTATTGCATCATTTGTTGAAGCGTGGCCTCGATCCAAATGAATCCGACAACAACGGGAGAACAGCTCTTGTGTGTTAACTCAACTCGATCTGTGAATTGCTTTTCTTTAAAACACATTGTTTTTTTTTTTTAATCTCATTTTCTGCTTTTTTTGGCCTTTTCGTTTCGCCCATATCAGCATATAGCAGCTGCTAAAGGATATGAAAACTGTGTTCTTCTTCTTCTGGACTTTGGAGCTGATATTAACAGCAGAGGTATATATTTTAACTTTCTTTACTTATCTTATAATCTAAGACAATCGGGTGGACCGAACAGACTCTGATGTCGGGCTATAATGCACATGGGTCAAAACCACACTAAATGACTAAATCCAATCAATTATCTAGTCTGACCAATAGCCTTATAAACCTATATATGTTCTTTCTTATATTTTCAATGTGAGACTCTTAACAGTTTAAAATGTGTTTATTCTGCAATTTAAACCATTTTTTTTCGTCTTTCAACATCTGCAGATTCTGAAGGGAGTGTGCCATTGTGGGAAGCCATCTTGGGAAAACATGAATCAGTGACCAGGCTATTGGCAGATAACGGCGCTCAATTATCCTTAGGTGATGTAGGTCAGTTCGCGTGCACTGCAGCCGAGCAGAACAACCTGGAACTACTCAGAGAGATTCTTCATCACGGTGGGGATGTAACGCTCCCCAGAAGCACCGGCTCGACAGCCCTCCATGTCGCTGTATGTGAAGGCAACGTCGAGATAGTCAAGTACTTGTTGGGCCACAGGGCTGATATCTACAAAGCAGATAGCTATGGGTGGACTCCAAGGGACCTAGCTGAGCAGCAAGGCCATGAAGAAATCACAGCACTGTTTGAATCCCATAAAGAGGCCAAGGTTCAACTCCATGCAACAGTTCCTGAAGACCGGCCTGGGGTTCGCTTTCTTGGGAGGTTCAAAAGCGAGCCAATGATCCTCCCGGCCTCACAATCGTCCCCTTTTCCAACAACAGACGGATCCTGGGGCCGATCATCGCGCCCTAGGCGCAGGACTAGCAACTTCCACAACTCTTTGTTTGGAATAATGTCAGCTGCTCAAAACGGGGACCAGCCCGCACTTTATTCTGTGAAAGAGGATGCACCTGCTGCCACTAATCAGACTTATGCTGCAAGAGTGACGGTTAGTTGCCCCGAGAGAGGAGATGTCGCGGGGAAGGTTATATTGCTCCCTAAAACCTTCCATGAGCTGCTCCAGATTGGTGTTAAGAAGTATGGATTCTTGCCTGCCAAAGTTGTGAGCAAAGAGGGAGCAGAAATAGAAGATATAGAGTTGATCAGAGATGATGATCATATAGTTTTTGTTAGTGATAATAGAACTACAGAAGACAGTCACTAAACTGGTGAATTGTGAGAGAAATGTGAGAGAAATGTAGATTTTGAGAGTAAAATTTTTGTGCTCTCCTCTTTTAAAAGTTATAGCTTCAAAGGCCCCAATTCATATAGAAGTTAGTGTTTTATAGGAAAGCTGCCTAACAAAAAGTTCCATCAACATCTCACTTTCTAATGCTACTAATTAAAAGCGAACAAAAATGTCAGTTTAAACGGATATTTAATGGATTGAGTTAGGGGTACCTTTACTCCCTCGAGCATCTTACCGATTCTTGAGAATGATGTCATGGGCATTCCTCTATCACGACACGTGACTACTAGGCCTAATGTCCTTTCATTATGGAGTCCTCCCTCTTTCTTGATCTAAAAAATGGATATTTAATCAAAATTTGCATCATATTAAATTATAATACGTTACTTTATTTCCTTATTGCTCTAATTGCTCACTTGTTGATTCTGATGGAATGATCTTTCCATGCCCCCTACTAAGACACATAGGACTTTGATTGATCAACAAACTCCCACATGCATTTTCAAAGGCACGGAAACATCAATTCATCATATGCAAGGAAGAAAACAGTTAGAACAAAAGAATAAGATATGCAATACAAACAAAGACCTCTAGTTGGTGAAGGAGGTGTCAATACAGGTCGGTTTGCGGACCGACTAAAATATTTTTAAAAAAGTAACTTATATTACCAACCATGCATTTTGTGCCTAGTTGGTATTAAAAAAAAATACTTATATTACCATTACATTATATAAGCCCGACCTACGAAGACTCTTGGTATTGGAAGGGAGATCCAAATGGGGTTTATACGGTTAAAAACACCTATAGGAGTATTATGGGGGACTTTTATGATAGCCCAGGTGCCTTTGATAAATGGGCAAAAATGTGAAAGTTAAAAGTCCCACCAAAATGGAAGACCTTTTTATGGAGAGTTATATGTGATATTCTCCCCACCACTGATAATGTAATAGTGAAGAGAGTAGAAGTGGATCTTGTGTGCCCAATGTGTGGTTTAGATCGTGAAGATGTGTTGCATGCTCTAGTGCTATGTGAATATTCTAGGCTTGTTTGGAATGTTACACAATTACCTATTACAAATATTGTTACAAATTCCTTTCCAATATGGCTAATGGGTGCTTTGGCAGTATTAACGGAGGACCAATGCGGTCTCATGGTCGCTGTGCTATACCACTTATGGAGGAGTCGAAATACAGCCGTATGGGAGGGTCCCCTATCGCGCCCGGACGTCGTTTGGAGATGGGTGTCCGCTGCCATGCTGTCGTGCCGCCAGGTTCACCAGCGCTAACTGCACCAACCGGCCGCGGCACCGAATATGGCAGCAGACCACGGTACACCACAGTGCTTTATAGACGCCGGCTTCCAGCAGGAAACCGGGGAGGCCACATACGGTCTTGTGCTGCTCTGATCGGAGGGTTTATTCATGGCAGCAAAAAATGGCAAGCTACCTTTTTGTTTCTCGCCACTTATGGCGGAGGCACTAGCTTGTAAGGAGGCTCTATCTTGGTTGTTGGAGAGGAATATCACAACGGTCTGCCTTCTCCCGGACTGCATGGTGCTACGAAGTGCTTTACACCAACAAACAACATCTACCTTTTCTTATGTTGGGGTCGTGATTGATTAGTGCAAGACTACTATGTCCCTATTTAAGCAGCTTACGCTATGTTATGGTTCTAGACAAGTTAATTTGCATGCTCATACTTTAGCTTCTTTAGCATTCGCTCAGGAACATTCTATGTATTGGGATTCTATTCCCCCTGACGTTATTACTGCGTTCATTCATTAATACAATCGTCTGATTGGCTTTCAAAAAAAATATAAATAACAAATATATATATTTTTAAATCATAATTTTTTTTGAGCATAGTAGCTATTCGTTCAAGGATATCTCTGTGGCTTTTCTAAATTGGAGGTCATGTGTTTGAACCCGAATGGGATATTAACTTTGTAGTTCTAAAAAAAAACCCATAATTATAACTTGTACTAATTCCTTTATAAGAAAGTAATAATTTATATTTATACGCAGTACTAGATATAGTTTGAACCTTACCAAGACTATGTGGTCTAATGGTATCCGGGTTGGGTTTTCATTTGGAAGGTTACGAGTTCGAGCCTCAGTGGAGGCGTTATTGGTTCTTTGTGTTTAAGTTGGTTGAGAAAGTATATGAACAGATACTACAATGTAATAGGGCCAGTAACATAAAAAAAAATATATATATAGTTTGAACCTTGAGGTCTAAGGCATGGGTCTCACTTATGTTAGTTTGAAATGTAGTACTATTTATACGGTGATGTAGTTAAAGAATTGGACTCACCAAGTCTAAGGCATATATGGGTCTCATCAGTTATGTTAGTTTCGATTTCAATCAATGAGAGAGATTGAGATTCCTTTAAAAAAAAAAAAAAAAGATTGAGATTATTACTCTAAAAAGAGTTTTCAATTTTGGTGTTTAGGTGTCCAATTAATTTTAAGTTATTGGGTAAAGAGAAGCGTTAAGATTCAAAGAATCAAAGTTCAATTTTAGCGCGCCTAGTATGTTTGGATTTTGTGAAGCAGTGACAAATTCGGATTTTGTGAAGCAGTGACAAATTCGGATTTTGTGAAGCAGTGAGAAATTCAATTGAACAGTTTCTAGTTTGGTTAATGAGTGCATTAAAATATGGATAAAGTTGCCAATTAGTTTAAGTGACTAACAAATCAACATATAAAAAAATACAGTGGCATTTTGATAATTTTGTGTAAGTTTCAGTGCACATTTTTCTTTTATACAAAACACATTGTTGTGTCTTACCGTGCACATTGTTGTGTGGTATAGTGCACATTTTTGTGTCTTCAACCTCTAACCTCTAGGGGGCGTTTGGTTCAGGTTAATATAACATAACCAAGGGAATGTAACATTCCCCAGGAATGTACTAGCTCTATTACATTGTAGTATCTGTTCATATACTTTCTCAACCTACTGGAACACAACGAGCTAATAACACCTCCATTGAGGCTCGAACTTATAACCTTCCAAATGGAAGTCCAACCCGGGTACCATTAGACCACATAGTCCTGGTTGGTTATGTTAGTTTATTACACACACACATATAATTATTTTTGTAATTATATATTTTTTATTTTTATTATCTTAGGTTAGCATATAAAATAATTTTGTTTCTCAAGTTCAATATTTTAGTTAATATTTTAAAATCATGTAATTATATATGATACCGTTATCTTATTTATTTATTTTAATTTTTAAATTTATTAAAATATATGAAAATATGTTAAGGATATTATATTGTGTGAATAAAAGATAACCTTAAACCAAACATGATTATATTACATACCTCAATTTTAACCAAACACGAGAATCTAACATTCCCAGCAATCTAACATTCCCTAAGGTAATATGACATTCCGTGAACCAAACAACCCCTTAAGGTTTCTAGAGTTTCAGTGCACATTTTCTCTTCATCCAGAGCACATTGTTGTGCCTTACAATACACATTGTTGTGCCTTCAACCTTTAAGTTCGTAGGTGTTATATATATACTAGTCTTTTCTATGCGCAATGTGCAAAATCATATGCCCAATATTTATATTTTTTAAAATAACTAATAAATCCTTACTAATTAAAATTATATGAAATCAAACTTATTTATTATAATAATCCAATATATAATATCTACAAATATTATTATCATTAAAGAATATAAGAAAATATATAGTGGATGGATGTGCATGGTAACAATAATGGAAAAGATAACGGAAGTTATAACGGTATGGGTATTTTTGTCCAAAAAATTATATAATACAACTCTAAAAGCATAATGTACAAAATGATTAGCATTAAAAACATGGACATAAATGAGGGATATAACTTTGATTGCGACTTATTATGTCTTTAGATAATTTTAGAGAGCATTTGATATTGAATGAATCATTAATTACTAATTTGAGTTGAATATTGCGATTGCTTACGTTTTGCGTGTGAAAGTCATGCATTAATTTAGTCTTTTCAATAATTATTTCATATTTTTGTCTTTCCCGTGCATATTTTTCCTTCTTCCAGAGCACATTTTTGTGCCGTATAGTGCACATTGTTGTGCCGTATAGTGAACATTGTCGTGCCTTTGTGCCGTGTATATATATATATATATATATATATATATATATATATATATATATATATATATATATATATATATATATATATATAAACAGAGTTTGATCACTAATTACTATTTTTAGTTGAATATTGTGATCTTTTATAAATTATATTGAAGATCGTGTATTAAATTTAATATTTTCAATAACTGTTGCATATTTTTGGAGCTTACATTGCATAATTTTGCCTTTCAGTGCACATTTTCCCTTCTTCCAGAACACATTATTGCGCCATATAGTGCAAGTCACTGCATTTCCACACCTAAGGGTATCATCTCACCAAAATCGCACTATATATATATATATATATATATATATATATATATATATATATATATATATATATGTTTACATTCAGGTAAAACACCCATTAAAATAAAAACGTGTGGACTACTTTAGACCGTTGGATGTTGGGTTTGGACGTGTAGGATTGATTTGTTGATTTGTGTCTATTTAGATTCCTTGGGCAGTTTTTATTATTGGCATAGGGGTAATTTTATGATTTTACTTTGTTATCTAGTCAGATCCGAAATTCACACAGCACGCGCCCGGATTAATTGTGGGTCGTCCATAGTTATCTCTCTCCAATCATCGCGCGTTGGCTGAGGTTTCTGTGGCGACGCCGTTTGATTCTTCGCTTCATGTGGTCTCCATTCTCCCTCGTCATCGTCCGCGAACAATGGTCGTCGGTGGGGACCACAGTAGAGCCAAGCAGCGGGGACTACCTGATCGGGGTATCGGTCGAGGTATTTTTTTTCCCCTTTGACGTTTTCGCAAATTTTTTTTGGTTGTTATTGTGGTCTTCAAAAACAAGAATAAAGACATTTAGTGACAAATCTTTTGTGAAACTTCATAATTTAGTCACAAATAATATTCTTTTTGTGATCAAATAAATAATTCGACACTATTGTATGGTGTAATTGTGATAACTTTTTTTGGTCACAGATAATATGGTAATTGTGACGAGTAAGTATTACGAATAAATTGTCACTATTAGTAGAATAAGAGTGTCGTAACATGTGTTGTCACTATTTGTTGTCACTAAATGTATTTTTATTTTGGCGGCATTATAAATATGGCGGGAACGAATGTAATTGTGACAAAAAACAATGTTGACACAAATTTTTGTACTTTTTGTGACAAATAATTGTTGGTCACTCTTGTTGATAATATTCATGACAACGTTTTTTGTGAATAAAAATATAATTAATTTGTACCATTAGAAATGAGAAACAATTGTGAGAAGAAATATTATTGTCACTAATATTATCATATTTTGTGATGAAATTGTTACAAATATTTGTGACGCTCTATAATTCCGTAACAAAAATTACTAAATTGTGACAATAACTGTGTTGATTTCTTTTTTAGTCACTAATTTATTATAATTGTGACGAGTAATTAATTGTTAGAATGACTTCGTCACTATAGTTAAATAGTTGGATATTGTGTGAAATGAATGTAATTGTGAAAATATATTTTATAATCACTCATTTTAAACGTTCTTATGTGGCCGATAAGTTGACTATTACTTATTTTACTAATTTGTCATATCATTTTTAAAAAAAATAAACATGTATATGTTTAGTACCAACAACATGTATATGTTTAGTACCAACAAACATGTATATGTATATATATTTTGAGTTTGAATGGTTAATTTTAATAAATCTTTTTGAAATATATTGTTGGTACTAAACATATATATGTTTAGTATATATATATATATATATATATATATATATATATATATATATATATTAATATATATATTGAAAACTTCAAACTCAAAATATAAAAAGTAAAGAATTCAAAAGTTATAAATACAAATTCATATAGTACTCAATCATCATCATCACCATTGGAATCTCATCATCATCATTAATAAAAGCATCCCCATCACTATAAATTTCATCTTATTCGATACTCATGGTATGAACATTTTATGAGCTTACTTCAACAGTTGCAGCATCCAAATCAGACCTATGCAATACCATAACATCATTATTATATATCTTCTAAATTAGAACTTTGAATGGTAAATGTGATACCCGATTTTTTTTTAGCCCTTCTAATTTCTTCTTTTTTCGATTGATTATTCATTTCTTTTCTAATCAAGCCTTAAAAAAAATTAATATCACATTATCCTTATTCTATTATTATTGTTATAAATAAATACAGAATAAAGTATATATAATTATAAGTATGTGGGTAATATTTTGAAATACAAAATAATTATTTTAATATAAATTCTGTACATATCATTTTGGGTCATATAATTATATATGTACATTTTATATTTATGTATTATATGTGTAGTACAAATATTATTTGTATGTAAGTAATATATATATATATATATATATATATATATATATAATATACATATATATATATATATATACACACACACACACGTGTGTCTATGGCGTATAGTATATATATAAGGTATGATATTATATATATATATATATATATATATATATATATATATATATATATATATATATATAAGGTATGAGATTTTGAATCCGGTGCAACCCCCTAGTTGGATGAGCTCGTGAGCCGTAATCCTAACCGTTTGATTTTATTTTTCAACGATGCAGATTACTTGCTCTGTGAAGACACGTGACATGTATTTTTGTTAAGAAGGGGGTAGTTTTGTCTTTTGAAATGATGCTCATTATATTAAGTTGTTATTATGCCGCGTGATTTTTGGGAGCGTGTGTAGAGATATATTAGGTCATTTTTGTTTTCTCTCTCATTATCCCGATTCATTAGGTATTTGTTTTGATTCTCGGTCTGATCGTCTCCTGTTCTTCCTCGATAGTCTTCATCTTCATTCGCGTGGTCGATTTTGCGTTGTTTTGGATCGTGTTTTTCATTGCTGGGTCGAGCTTGAGGAGATCTAAGCGGCTTAGGTGGTGTTCGCCCGATCCCCTTCCAGGTTTTCTGATTTGTTGTCCTCTTTTTTCTTTAATCGTATGGTTTTTAATATTTTTGCAGTTAGCTTTTGTGTTTCTGGGTTGTATTGCATTTTGGTGTCTCTGTTGTAGGTTTTGTGGGTCACTGATTTGGGTTTATATGGGGTTCTTTTTTTGGGGTTTTTCCGCGGTATGCAAGGGTTTTGGGCTTTTGGGATGTGGGGTGGGTGTTCTAGAGGGAAAATGGCGGCAGTTGGTATGTAATTTTTTGGGGTTTCAGAAGATCCATCAATAGTCTAGGTCGACTGGGTCTTTGCATGTGCGTGAGGGGGGGGGGGGGGGGGGGGGGGGGTGGTATTGTGTTCGCTGTTTGATGGGGTTTTTTCGGCGGGGTTTGGTGGCTAGAGTTTTCGATGCTCATGGCTGGGGGTTGGGGTTGCGTTGTTGTGGTGAGAAGGTAGGTCAGTTTGTGTTGCTTTATTTGTTTTTTTTTTTTTTTTTTTTTGTTAATTTCTGGCAGTGTGGGTGTCTTATACTGTTTATTTTTTTGCATGTTCTTTGTGTTGGGGGGATTCAAAAGTGGTTTGTTGTCCATAGATTGGGGTATGTGGCTTATGTTTTGGGGTTGGGTCTGGCGGGATGGGGGGTAGTTGGTGGTTTGGAAGGTGGGTAATGGCTCTAACTTCTATGCGGGGGTTGTTTTTTTTTTTTGTGTTGTTTTTTTTTTTTTAATTTATTTTACGCTGGCGTGTGTTTTTTCCCGTTTGGTACGCTGTTTCATTTTTTTTCCGGAGAATTTGCATTTATAAATTGTTTGTTGGCAGAATGTTGTTTTATGATTATTTGAATTATTGTTGCGTGTTTGTGGTTACTCATCAGAATGTTGCTCATCAGTGGTATTGTGTTCGCTGTTTGATGGGGTTTTTTCGGCGGGGTTTGGTGGCCAGAGTTTTTGATGCTCATGGTAGGGGGTTGGGGTTGCGTTGTTGTTGTGAGAAGGCAGGTCGGTCAGTGTTGCTTTTTTTGTTTTTTTTTTTTTTTTTGTTAATTTTTGGCAGTGCAGGTGTCTTATACTGTTTGTTTTTTGCATGTTCTTTGTGTTGGGGGGATTCAAAAGTGGTTTGTTGTCCATAGATTGGGGTATGTGGCTTATGTTTTGGGGTTGGGTCCAGCGGGATGGGGGGTAGTTGGTGGTTTGGAAGGTGGGTCACGGCTCTAACTTCTATGCGGGGGTTGTTTTTTTTTTTTTTTGTTTTTTTTTTTTAATTTATTTTACGGTGGCGGGTGTTTTTTCCCGTTTGGTACGCTTTTTCATTTTTTTCCGGAGAATTTGCATTTATAAATTGTTTGTTGGTAGAATGTTGTTTTATGATTATTTGAATTATTGGTGTGTGTTTATGGTTGCTCATCAGTGTTTTA